TCTTGAACAACGAATGCATTTTTTACTATTTTCTTTGGATTCATTCTTAGAAATGGAATTACTTTGCCAAAGTAGATTGACACTTTTAAGGCTCTTAATGCACAAAGCCAGTTTGCCAGAGTGGTGGTACCAATTTAAGAGACATCTGACAGACCCTTGTTGTCTTTAAGGAAAAAGTCTGTCTGCTTAGTTTTGCTGTTACTCATGAATTGTCGTATGTGGAAGGAAGGTCAAGGTGTTTGCCATGTCTCTGTTTATGCATACAGCACACAATCAAAACAGAGAAGAATAAAATGCATTTTTCAAAGGCAGAGAATTGGGAACATAGTTTGAAATATGCTAATAAAGGAAGCTGATGCTTAGCACTGCCAGTGTTGGATTTGTAAGGCATGGTCTCATTTATAAAAAAAAATGGAAATGGTATAAATGACCAAATGAAATGCTATGACAAAAATCAGAGAGGGAGTTGTTAAAATCTTAAAGAAGAAAACACAGGGCTTAATTTTTTAAATAAAAATATCAGCTGTAACTATTTTAATTGAAAATTTTTTAAGTATTAGGAAACGTTACCACTTAGACTCCTCTGATGCATTTGATGATTAAAATGTTTGCTAGATGTCTTACACCATCAAAATATTTTATCCTGTTGTGCACAGCTGCCTTCCCTTGTTAAGATACTCATGCATTTGATGATGACCACCTTTCAGTCATTCAATATGAAATGCTAAGACTTTCCTTTGTGCCCTCCATACAGGGCACAGCTAAGTTCTCCATGTTTGTACATGTGGGGAAGGAGGACAGGGAGAGAATAAGCTTAACAATTTGGAAGAAAAGTTTGGTCTCAAGAAGCTGGCAGTGAAAATACTTCTGGATCAAAAAGATTTTCAACATGATAATGAGTGCTTATCCATTTTAAGCCTCAAGAGACAAAAAAAAAAATCTTCCAAGATTGACCAGAAGGCAGAATTTGTCTTAGACAGTATTCCACTCAGCCACACTGCCTCTCAAGTCCTGTACTATGGCTAAAGAGGAACAATGAGACTTAATTCTACCTTTTCGAGGGTTTGGCGAGGGATACCAGGACACTGATCGGAAACACCACTACTGTTCATCATTCAGAACAATGAGTTTCACAGTAGATGCCTGCTATGAATGGTGGGAAAACATTTTCTTATCTTAAGAAGAGAAAACTGGTTTTTCATCAAGAAAAAACAATAAATTCATTTTCTCTGCTTTTGATGATGATATAAAAAAAGTTACTAAATAAATCTACTAAATCCACCAGGAGAAAAAATTAAAGCATGTCTGCTGCATGCCCATGAGATATGTAGTGAACTCTAGTTATCATTAACTTAATAAATACCAGACGATTTGCAGCTTTGAGTTTTTCTTATAGTTACACCCTCATACTGATACACTATAAGAAATCCATTCCCATTTTAAATAAAGGTCTATAATATGTTACTTTTGCTCCACTCATTTTATGGCCAAGAAATAATATTGCTATGATGCTAAATTAGTGGCAAAAAGGATTTTTAAAAGCTACGATATGGTGGTGCATTACTGATAATTTTTAGTTCAATCGCATGCAGTATTTCAGGTGTATACTTTAGATGCGTGAGTTTAAAGTACACATTGCTTCTTAATTCTGGAGTCAGACATAATTCTCTATAAAACCAACCTAGAAAAATCTTTTTAGGCTTATTTTTTTCTTTTTACACAAACTTCAAATGTTTACTTAATAATCATTCAAAATATTTTTGGAAAACCAAGATGAGATTAATGATTTAGATTATTAGTTTCTAATGTTTGAAAAAATTTAAGCAAGATGTTTGAAAAGCAGTAGAGAATACACTTTGCATAATGTCTATCAGATGTGTAATATTCTTTGCTGTAAATAATATCCACAGTATTGATCTTTGACCACTCTTTGCTTATGTGATGGATGCATTTTTCCTAAATATGTCCTACTATGAAAAACAACCTGGCACTATGAAGAAATGCAAATGAAATTCCAAAAATTCTGTTTGAATAACTTTCTTGTAGCTACAATAACACCGTACTTTTTTTTGAAGGATAGTTGATATACAATATTAGATTGGTTGCAAGCCTACAACATAGTGATTCAACAGTCATCTACATTATTAGATGCTAACCCCAACTATTGCAGTTACTATCTGTCAACATAGAAAGATGTTAGAGAACTGTTGACTATATTCTCTATGCTATACTTTCATCTCCATGACTAATTTATGTTATGATTGACGTTTTGTGCCTCTTTATCTCCTTTAGCTTTTTCACCCACCCACCCCAACCCCTCCTCATGGTAACCACCAGTCCCTTCTCAGTATCTATGAGTCTGTTGCTGTTTTGTTTTTAGAGTCCATATATAAGTAAAATCATTTCATAATAATACTTTAAAGTAAGAAGTTCTGAAACTTGAAAAGCTAAGACCTACCTCTCCTCCCCAGATACCCTCAAAGTTTAAACATTTTTCTTTACTAACAGGATTATTTTCAGTCTACTTAAACTGAAACATAAATTTTATTTTTAAGGAAGATCTTCCTAATGTCTAAATTGGAATGTATGATTTTACTGGACAAACTCTCTCCTGCTCTGTTTTGTAAGTTAAAAAACTTGGGACTGCATACTTATTCAGTGACCCTTTGATCTGCCCTGGAATTACGGTGATCTATATATACAGCTGTCCTAAATTTTCATTCATTCGTATCTTGACTCATTTATTCATTCAACCAAATGCCTCCCACATGGCAAGCACGATTCTAGGCACTAAGGATTAAGTATTTAAAAAGCAAGGTGCCCACCAACATGGAACTTACATTCTAGCTCTGGCTAATATGATGAAAGCTCATTCTAAAGGGTTTCCTTAAAGAAAAATTTCGCCCAAAGCAAATTCACTTTATGTTTGCAACTCAGAAAGTTCACATTCTCAGACCATTTTATTTTTAAATGAGTAGTTACAGACTATTAGAAACACATATGAGAAGTCTGTCTGTAAATTTAGCAGCAAGCAAGTGATTTCTTTTACTAGGGTTTATCAGACTGCCAAGCTTGGGGATACTGGGAGAGACAATTAGCATTGATACAATCAATATTTGTATTTAAATGAATGTCTTAATTTCATTTGCTATGCCAAAACAATATAACATCCAAGTACTGGTTGAAAATGTCGGGATGCTTAAATAAATTCCCTCAGAATTGTTATTTAGAGCGACGTACATCTACTCCTGCCAACGTTATAAGCCTTTGCGGTGTAAGTGATTGAAGTGAACTATGACCTTGCTTCTCTGAAATGCATCTGATTTCCTTACTTTCAGTGGCCTTTTCATTGTAAAATGCATGTTCATTTTGTTCCCTTGGTGTCCCGATTTTAAAATGTCACATTTGCCCTTCCAGGTTGTTATGTTTTATTACGTTTTCATTTTGTGGAAAATGTTTACGCTGCTCTTTAGGAGGCTGTGACACAGGTTTCGGGTCCTTTCCTGGGAGGTTTGGGGGATTCTAGCCCACTGTGTTCTGCACACGCAGATAGACTGACTCATGTCTCTGCAAAGGTGGGGACGGTTGATGTCTGTGGCTTGGTGGCACATCGAGAAACTTCAAGTCAAAAGGTTCCCAAGGGGCAGTTTCCTTATCTGAAAGAGGGGCAAAAAACATTCGTCCCTCCTACTTCAAAGTTTTGTTGTAAGGATTGAATAAGGTAGGAACATCACTTTGCAAAAATTAGACACAGTTCTACAAGTTATAGTAGGTGTTATTCCCAGTTTTTCTGTTTCTGTGCTTATCAGTATCATGACAATTTATGTACATGTATTTAAGGAAAGGATGCATCTCATCAAGATTTGAATGACATACTTAAACTACTCCTTGGTTTCCAAAGTGCTATTTGCTTATTTGGGAGCTATAAGGGAATGAACGATGAGATTCCCTTAATTACTGGTCACCCATCTTAAACAACAAGATGCCATGGAGTGGCTTCCCAGCGACTGAATGTGTAATGAACCCACTAGGGACAGAAAACCCCCTAGGCTTCAGAAGTAATACATCAGAAATGACAGCAACACTTTAATGAGAGTCATCAATTACAACTGCCTCTAAACCCCTCCCTGACTGATGTTTTTGTCGAACTCTTCCGTTGTCCCCTTCTCCCTCCCTCCCTGGACAAACATTTTAGCCCTTCCTCCGGGGATGAACCCTGCCCAAGCCACACACTGAGTTCGGCAGCATGCAGCCATGACCATGGGAAATTAACAAGGAAGTGGAGCCCTTTCCTGTAGTAACACAAAATGATTAAGAGGACCTAAAAAAATCAATTGACTAATCAATGGTGTGTAACTGCTTGGAGCATTTTTCCCTATGCTAATCAGCCATTAAGTTGTTTAAACTAAATATCTCCAGTTTCCCCAATTACTGAACTGATTTACAAGACACGGTCAAGGATGTCAGAGTCTACTGGAGCCAGATTCCAGAGTGTTTGTTGGAGAAAGATGAAAATAATTTATAGATGATTCTGAAGGTTCTTGAAAAGGAGGATGTGGTGGCAGGCATCCTAGTCTCCAGACATTCGTGAGTTAATGTGGTAGTCCCACGTTCTGAACATGGGTGTTTGATTCATAAAATCGGCAGTGGTCCGGGAGCAAGTTGATGGAATTCAGGAGTAATGGAGGTCAAAATAAGTAAACAAAACAGCTATGCACTACACATGTTCAGACCTTTAAAATATCTTTTAACATCAGCCGTGGAAAGAAGCGTGCAGCAAACAGGACTCTGAATTCAAAACTAAAGGTATTCTAACTGCACAGGGCAGTGACATACTACTACCTACCTGTGTATTGCCAGAGATTCTAGAATCTGGACCATATGTAAACTTTTTTTTTTTTTGAAGTTGAATGCCACTGTGGGGGGCAAGAACAACGCTAAGAAATGACTTAAAACAGGGGGAAAAGCTTTTTTATTGATATGTTTTACTTTGCTGGCAGACCAGAGCAAAGGTTTTGTGAACATTTAAAAGATGAAAAAGGTGAAGAATCCCAGAAGCGGTTTATCTTGAAGCGAGATAACTCTAGTATTGATAAAGAAGACAATCAGGTTGGTTCTCAAGTTTGAGAGTGGCTGACGTTGTTGTTTTTGAAGGTGGGCTGACTGATGTTTTTGTCGATCTCTTCCGTTGTCCCCTTCTCCCTCCCTCCACGTGGTCCTGCCTCTGATACTACTGTCCCCTCTCCAGCTCCCTGCCCCCTCGGCCCTCCTTGGCGTTCAGTGGGTAGCAGAGCAAACCTGTCCTGACTGCTTCGGCGATGCTCTGTGTGGGGCTGCATGGTGGGGCTTCGCACAGCTCCTGCTGCATGGCTGCAGGGTTGGGGTGCCGCAGGCTCTGAGCTGCCGGGAAACGCTGTGTCAGTCGCCTTTCCGGATGTCTGTGTAACTCTGGCAGTCGTTCACTCCCCACAGCTTTGTCCTTCAGTTGCGCACAAAGTGAGCTGGATTATCAATGCGGACAGATGATCAACGGGTGTAGCTGTAAAGAACAAACCTTGTTATGGTGAGGACAGGTGGATTTTGCAACTCTCCTAAAATACGTAACTCTCCTAAAATACGTCTTCGCAGAAAAGAATCGAGTTCACATCTCAGTCTCCCACCCCTTCTCCTGCCCATGTTTCATTGTCTACGTAAATCATCTGCTTTTTTTTCCCTGCATGAAATGTAGCAGAACTTTCTCCTTGTGTGTACTTTGATTGTGACAAAACATTATGTTGTTCTAGAGAAGCCTCATTCATGGTGCTTGAGCAAGGGCAGAGTCTTTACTAAATCTCTTCTACTCATGGGGGTGGGATCCAGGGTGATGAGGAAGAAAACTAAGTAAATGGCAAAAGAAAACACGTTTTAAATGATAATAAGAACAACCGAAAGTTATGTAAGTGCTATTACAGTTACTCTTGGTGTCTCTGACAACAAAATAGATTTTTGGAAAATAACTTCGGTCTAGAATTCTTAAAGGTAAGACAATATGCGTCTCAATCAAGTTACTTTTTAATCACCCTCAGTGAGTCATTCTAAGCCAGGATGTGCATCTCTGATGCGTTTTTTTTTTTAACTTTTTCCTCACTTGTATCTGGTTTCCTCCCACCACCACCAAGCTACCCCATGGCCCCGTTGACTCTGGAACATGTGGCAGTGTCATGTACTGAGTGGGTGTTTGCTGAATGGCTGAATGAGCACCCTGGGTGCAGAGCACTTTGTGAGGAGCAGCAGGGATGAGATGGGCGGTAGCTGAGCTGCAGGGCATGGTTCTGACCAAAGGCTGAAGGAGGCCAGTCCTCATGATGGGTTCTTGAGTTATGAGGTTTCTTGATACTGATCCAAAGCAACAAACAGCCTTTTCAAATTTGGTGTCTACTTTCTCTGCCAGATGCAGATCCCAGGATCAGCCACTGAGTGAGTAAGAAGCACAAATTGGGGTACAGAGAAATCGTGTCCACATGTTCCTCTCTGCCCATTGCTTTCTTTACCACTATGCTGTGTTTCTCCAGTACCCAAATTTTCAAACCCATTTCTTCCCTTAGTCGCTTTGAACTAACCACTTCCTCTTTTTCACTGCCATTCTACCTCCCTCTGAGGAGTCAAAAATCAGTTGGGCAAAGGAGATAGAGTCCTCACTGGTGACCCACCACATAGCTGACCTGTTTGAACACCTGGGGCACATCTGGGTGCTTTCCTTCTGGAAACACTGCTCTACTTGCATACAGGGGGGAAGCAACTAGGAGCAGCGAGCTCTCCTGCACACACAGTAGACATATATCTCACCGCAGCCTCCTTAGGGACAGAGGGAGAGAGACTCTCCATGCTCCATTTGGTTAAGTGAACATTTATAATTCTCAGCTGACAGTTGCTTAACAGCAGATTTCTAACAGCTCAACTTGGATAACCCTCCTGATTTCTTTTCTCTGTTCAGCAAAACAGAATGCATCCATTTAGAGATGACAGACGAAGTAAATCAATTGAAGAGAGAGAAGAGGAGTATCAGAGAGTGAGGGAGAGAATATTTGCACACGATGTGAGTAGTTGTTTTAATTGCCTCTTTAGTGTGGTCCTCCCATCAGCAGTCAGGCGGCCTCATCCCCAGGCGGGGAGCTGGCAGGACTGAGAAAGCTGGAGCCAGGGAGCTAATGGAAGCACAGAGAACTGGAGGTGTCTCTGGAAGAGGACCTGGTTCAGGGAAGTAATGGAAAGGTAGCCAAGGGTTTCTGTGTGTTCCTAGCACATGACCTGTGGGGTGGTAGAGGTCTAATCTGAGAAGTTACCAGATTTGAAGAAATGTTTTCACATCCACATTAGCCAAAAGATGCAACAGTGTTGACTGTGCAAAGTCACGTAAAAAGAAAGACGATTTTGTTAATCACATTCACAGACGCAGAATTGTCTGCGTTCTTAGCAAGTGTGGACACTTTATTATATCAAAGTTAAGTAATAATACTTCCCCCTCCTCCCAATTTCAGATCAAATGAGGTAGGTGAGCAATCTGTCAAGGGAATAATCATAAAAAGATTCGTTTTGTTTGAATCCCAAGAAAGAAGATGTGGTTGGGATTTTTTTCTTATCCATTTACCCACAATGGCCAAAATAAGTACAATTAAATTAAGTGGAAATTAAACAGTGGGGGAGAAAAAAGCTGGATTTAAATGCAAGAAAATAAAGAGAGCAAACTATAGCTATAGCTTTTCCATTCCATGAACTCGTTTGGCAGCCTACAAAAATGTGGTGGGCTCTTCTCTCTGCAGAAGTGGGGGTGCGAGCTTTGTGGATTTTCCAGGGCGGACGCCTCCAGCCTCACTAAGTCAGGTGGCCTATCCGACCTCCTGATGACTTGCTCCTGGAAGTCATTACAAAGCCAGGCCAGAGCCCTGGGCTTCGCTGCTTAGCGTGGAGGAAGACCACCGTCCTTGCCGGGGTCAGGCCCCCACCGGTGTTCCTGGTCCTCCTGCTGCTGGAGCTTCTGACTGCCTTAGTGTAAAGCTGCAGAGGGAGCTCAGACTCCTCCGGCTCTGCGTGTCTTTCACATTCCTGCAGGTTTCAACGGTTGCTTCAAGGTCTTCTCTGCCCTTGGATGTAGTAAAAGAGAATGCTGGAATTGAATTGTGATACTACATCCCCCCAGCCCTGGAATTTGCAGAGTGTGAGAGAGGGAGGAGGTAGCCGTAGCTGGGTGCTATCGGGTGCAATTGTGGAAGATTCTGCATGTGTATGGGCGACTTAGACTTTCATTATGGTCGGAGTTAGTGATGGCACAAAGCATAGCTGGACACATGGTGGACTGTGTCTCCTGGGTGCAGGCAGGAAGTAAGGAGAGGGCCTGTCCTAGGCATGGGAGCATAAGGACATCTGCAAGGGATGGGAGGTAGCATGCTCCTCTCTGATGACCTTCATGGAGAGAAGTTTTCTGAAGAGTACTTCATTTTTTATATTCTCTCTCTCTCTCTCGCTCTCTCTCTGTCTCTCTCCCTCGCCACCCCTCACACACACACGCCCGCCTCCTCTGACTCTGATTCTGGCAAGTCATATAAGTTATGAACAAGTTCGAAACCCGTGTTCAAAAGCAAATGCTCATCACTCAGGTAGCATTCAGACAGTGTGCTTATTTTTCAGTTGCGCCACATTGTCAGACACTCAAGAGCTAAGGAACAGAAAGCAGCATCACTGGTGCCCCTGTGAGGAGGGGACACCTGTGCCACTCTGCTTCACCTGCAGATTCTCACATCCATGGGGAGGTCATCACAGGAGAGGGGGTCAGCAGGAGTTTCTTTACATGCCCCATTTCCCTACATTCCTACCAAGGACACTGACAGCAAGGGTCCCAGGTTAAACATTGGATGCAAGTGTTGCTGTTCAAAGCCCCAATGGCCAAAGGCTGAATTTACGTTTTTTAAGAAGTAAAAGCAGATATAAATGTGAGAAACCTTAAATGTCAAGCTATTGACTTAGCCTTTCCAATCCACAAAACCACGTGAAAACCTTCTTTAAAACTGGGTGGTAAAAAACAAACAAACAAACAAACAAACAAACAAAATAATAACAAAAACTGTTAGTGAGAGCTCGAACCGTGGCCAAATCAAAATAAACAGTGCAATTTATGAAAAAAAAAAAACAAAACTGGGTGGCTTCCTCCCTTTGCGGCCGTGCAGAGGGGCATGGGCTTTTAGGTAGACCCTGATGGGCAGCACCCCGGGCCTCCCAGGTCACCTGAGGCACTGCTTCCCGCAGGACCTAGGGCAGGGGTCTCAGCTGGCAGCCTGTACCCGGAGGGGCGTACTCTCAGAAAGCCTCCTTTCTGGTAAACAGACTCCTGGCCAACATCTGTAAAACAGTGTCCCTAAGCATTGGCACGTTTTTCTAAGGACAGTATCTCTATTGTTTATCATATTCTTACAAGTTGTCATGACTCTTAAAAGGCTGAGGGCCTCTCCCATGGGACAGAAAAAGTGTACAGAATCTTTCCCCGGCCCCAAAGCTCCAGAGAAACAAAGCAACTGTACCACTGTCCCCTGTGTCAGTTGTTCAGTGCTACATAGTCACTTATCCCCAAATTTGACAGCTTGAAACAAAAAGTTCTGTTTATCTCTCAGTCTCTGTGGGTCAGGAATTGGGAGTGGCTCGGCTGGCTGGCTCTGGCCGCTGACTTTCATGAGGTCACAGCCAAGCTGTCAGCTGGAGATGCCGTGCCCGAAGGCCTGATGGATGGTCATCTGCTTCCAAACCCCGATACTTATTGGCAGGCCTCACTCCTTGCTGGCTTTAGGCTGGAGATCTCAGTTGCCAGTCTATGAGGCTCTCCAAGGGCTGGTGAGTGTCTTTGTAATGTGGCACCAGTTTCCCCAGAACAAGTAATTCTAAAGAGACAGAGGGCCCAAGATGGAAGCCACAGCCTTTTAGAACCAAATCTTAGAAGTGACATACCTTCCCTTCTGCTGTATTCTTGTGGACACATAGACCAAGCCTGGTTAATGTGGGAGGCACCACACAGGCTGTGAGTACCAAGGATATAACAGCAATATGAACTCTCTTGAGTACATATAGTAACAAAGCTTCCTTACCACTTACATAAACATGAGACATTTTAGGGACATTTCAACTATGCAATGTCAGATTCCTAAATCATTACAACTTTCCAAATTGTTCAGGGACACAAGATAATAATTAAAGCATAATAGGTCAATTATAAAACAGATGCCAAGAATCCAGCATAAGGAAACTTAGATTCCGGACATCTCATCCTTTTCTTAGCTGACCTTTAGTGTCTTCATAATTTAAAAACTGAGGTAATAAAAGCAGCTTTCCTTGCCAATTATTATTTAAGTAGTGTGGTCATTCAAACAGGTGCAAGTACTAATATAGAATTAAGTACAATTTTTTTTTTTTGCTTGAAATTACAATAGGGAGTTATAGAGAAATACTCTCTGGTTTTTACATTTAAAGAAAAAAAATTTATTTTAAAATTAGGAGTGTTCTTGAATATTTTACAAATGTATCTTGGTGTCTAAGGTGTGTGTGTGTGTGTGTGTGTGTGTGTGTGTGTGTGTGTGTGTGTGTGCAAAACATGAAGGTTATTTGCAGATTTTCTAGAAAAAGTTTTCAGATATAGTTTGGAAATTTTGGTATCTTGAGATGAGACAAATCTATTTGTTCTTTGAGAATGAGGATGTAAGTCAGCACACGACAATTTTGTTCTCAAATAAAAAATAAGTGCTTTTCTGTAGTCAGAAATAATTCAAATACAATTCTCATTACCTTTGACAAGAATTTGAGCTTATTTTATTTTATGATTAATTCTATGCAGTTGCTAACTTAGGGAAGGTTAACTTGCTAAGGCAATATATTTAAGAAAGGCACATTTTCCCTGGAGGATAATTTCTGGAGGATATTTATGTATAAATAGGGATTCCAAGATGATCTCACCTGGGCTCTCCCCAGCATGTACTGGGGTCCCTCTTTAGTGAGAACTGATGGTAAGGGCCTGGGATGCCACCTGGATCAGGGTAAGACGTGGGAGAGAAATCTGTAACCCATTAGGCAAAATCATTTAAAAAAGTGAGTCCTTTATATCTAAGAATGCATATAAGTGACAGCTTTGAATGCTGCACTTAATTATCATGGTAATTTTATCTTTCTCTGCTATTAAAATTTGCAAGTTATGAATACTACTTTTTTTTTAAGTTTACTTTCATCAGGTACTGAATCACAGCTCACAGCCAATCTCTGTCTTATTTATAAAAATGTGGTGGAGGGATGAGGAGATGATTTTTTAGGACATTTCCACAAAAATTGGAAAAGCATTCTAGAGTGGCTTCTGGGAAGTTATCTTTGACTTGCAGGTGACTTCTTTTTTAATTCATTGAGTTTGGGTTACTTAACTTTCCCCCAAATGCTATTAGATTAATGAGTCTGAAGAGGTCAGTATGTCTTTGATCAACTCCTTCAAAGAAATAGTAGAGTTTCAGCAATTCCAGTACTCAGCCAGAACATTGTAAATGTAATTGAACTCTTTCCAGCTATAAGAGCTGAGTAGCAGCAAAGTATTGAATTCATGATGTATGTCTGAAACAATCTCATTTTCTTTCACATACCATGATTTGGTTCAAACCAGGACACTTAGCTTACTGTAAAGAGAACTTCATGGGAATAATGTCAGTGTCACATAATTTATATTTGTTTCCCTTATAAGCATGAATGTGAAATTTAAAAAGGTTCTTTACCTTTTTGCTTAATTGGCTGTTCCTGCTTTTGGTTAATAAGCTTTTGCACACTGGATGTTAAGGATGCACGTTAAATGCACAAATGTTAAAACAAAAATGGTTCTAAGATGATCTCCCTGAACTGCTCAGTCCACTGACATTATGCCCAAATCTAGGCCTTTGGTTTAGTGGAGAAAATGACCTCTGCAGCAAAATGTATAGAGAATCCAATATCCTGCTTGCCTCTCTGAGCAGCGGCTACCTTAGCTGTGTCTTTCCACTCAAGAATTCAATATTGAAAGGTCATTATTATTTCTTGAGTTTTATTTTATTTAAAAATGGACCTGTTAAATCTCTATTTATCCCTTTAGCAGGTCACATATTCATCATTTAGAAAATCTGCAGATATAATATGGTTTATATACTTAGGTTTAGAAACTCAGTATTTTGAAAATGGTTTTGCTTTAATTCCTAAGCCCAATCACTAAATTATAGGGCCATTGCACCATATTTTCTTTAGCCCTCTTTTTCTCTCTTTGTTAAAATTTAATTAGATTGGCCTTTCCCCAGCACGTAAGGATAATGGATTTTATCTTCCCTATGTTGTGGATCAAACACAAGATGGTAGAGAGATGAATGGTAGGGGAACGGAAGCTAAGAAGAAAGTCATTGCTTTTATGTGTGAAAAACTAAGAAATGTTAGCTGGAACTTGACATTTGTTTTTCTGATTAGCTTCATTTTGTTTTCACTTGTCTCTACCTCCCCACCCCCACCCCCACCGCCCACCTTAAGATTGATTGATCGCTTCTCTTCAATTTTGAGAGTCTGGCAGTCAATCTGTTTATTTCATGAGGTTTTCATTGCCAGGTAATGATTGCAGGATTGTCGCTTTATGGGTCTCCGGTCCTCAGGCGCTTGTGCCAAGTCTGCATGCTCTGCCTTTTCCAGAAACCAGCCTTTCCCAGAAACCATCCTTCAGCTCTTGCTGGCGGCTCCATCCCCACAGCCCCACGGGAAACCGCTAGCTCAGGACCCCACCATCCCTTGTGTTGCCAGCTGTCTCATTCACAACATCTCTCCTTCTGACCCTGACGCTGAACTGGCTAAATCTGTCTGAACCTGGAGGTGCTCTGACAGAAAAGTACTGTCTGCTGCATGACAATGGTGCACACTTCTGACTCTAACTTATATTCTTCCTTTTTTATTTCTTTTTTTTTTTCTAAACAATAGTACATGTTTTTCCTAATTCCTTTCCTCTTGGAGGGGAAAAGTAATTTTAAAATCAGGCAAGGATTTGGGATCCCTCAGGACATCCAGGACGTCTGATACGATGCTTTTTTTTTTTTCCAGTCAGTTTGCTCCCAGGAAAGCCTTTTTGTGGAAAACAGGTAAAACTAAATTTGCTTTTTCATGTCTTTAGAGGAAAAAAGTCTGTTATGTGCGTCTTGTATATTCATAGATATAAGTATGCACTTGGATATATGTATAAGTAAATACATGTATCTGTGTGTACACACTTATATGCACACACATATATGTTACTTAACATGTCTAAATACTTCTTAATTTAGGGTCAAACTTCTCTTAGTTACTTTCAAATGTAACCTGAAACATTTTCCTTAATTAAAATTTCAATTTTGCGTCCTTCCAAAAGTGTCATTTCTGTTGCCTTCCCTAGCCACTAAAAAGTACAGATGTTCCGCACAGGAACTTGCAATTTCATTGGCTTATTGAATAGGCTGCTGAAAGTACTTGTATAGTTGGTATTATTAGCCACTTCCTATGTCCCATAGTTATATATGGCTGTATGAATAATAATTTGAATAACATTATTTTGAGTTTCTCGTTATTAACCTATTGGTCTTCATGAAAAGGCTAACTTGTAAATCTTATGTAGACTGGTCTAGATTTACAAACTTGGGGGTTAGTAGGGGGAGGTGGCTACTATGAAATGAATGGGTTTAAAATTTATACAAAGTCTTGAGCATAAGTGCAGAACTTTTTCAAATTTAATATATACCTTTTAAAAATAGTTCAAAACTGACACAGATATGAGAAGTCTCCACTGATTTAATTGCATATTTTCAGGGGGAACTAAAGAATTCCATGCTAGCTGTACTAATCACATTTAAATGCATCAAAATGGGCAACTGGAAGGAAATATGGTGTTCCTTGAAAAAAGTGGTGGTTAATTTTATTCAGGTGTCAGCTTAATGGGTGCCCCCATAAAGCTGATTAAAGTGGAGGCTGTTTGATTAAATTCCAGTACTTAGAGGAAATTTAAGCTTGGCATTAGAGATGATTAGTTAAAATAAATCATTCATCATTGATATTAGCCATTAGAAATCGAGTAACTAAGCCCCTCAATTGAATAACTTCTTTTAAAAGAAGGGGTGAACATAGAAAACAAATCCACATAAGGCTTTCGTAAACAACCTCAAGAATCCATATAAATTTAGACAGACACTCCCTAGTTACAATAAAATCATAAATCCAAGAGCATTCACGTTTTAGGGATGATTCTGAAGCATTCCAGCATTCTACATCCTTACTCAAAAGATTGAGTGTTTATGATTCAGTTTGGTGGGAAACATTATTCTAGTTGTTGAGCCAATAATTTTCCCTACCTTAGTTCCTAATTTTATTTATCTACTTGGGTTTTGTACAAAAAGACTTCTAATGCACTTTCAGTGTTCCTTATGATCAAATTGGATTATAGTCACCAATAAAATAGTTGATCCCATAGGCATGCATTGCTTATATGAACAAGTCTTGTTTACAAAAGCAAAAATCTGAGTGAATTCCCTACAATAATAAATATATTTCTGTGATACTTACCTATGGAATGTCAATATTTTACTATCCCTAAGAAATAAAGAATAGCCTTAATATTATTCAAAGAAAAAAATCTCAACTAATACCTTTATAATATATTATATGAATTATATGTGCATTATATACTAATAATATATGAAATGTCTGTTACAGCTGTATCAATTTCTTATATTCTTCTCTCCTCTTCGGTTACCTACATTTCCTTTTCTGTTCCTTCCTTTCCCCTTTTCTGGCACCAGAGCCTCAGTCCTAGGGTAGGGAAACCCATGTTGTCATCAATTTATTATGGCAAAATGCAACATCATGCAAAGAATGCATGATGTTTGGGCTTGATTTGCAAGACAGGTGTGCTGTAATAGAATTCACACCCATTTAATATAGCACATTTAGTATGCTTAGGTTTTCTATCATAAAAATCATGTTTTTCATTTCCAGTAGGCTCTTGGAAGACAGTAACTTATGCAATGAGACCTATAGGAAAAGACAGCTCTTTCGGTTGGTATGGTTTATTTTTCTCAAACCGTGCTTTCAGACTCTGTGGCAGAATCCATGTTAAATATAAGTGTATTAGTGTAAAATATCTATGTCCGTGAAACAAACTATGTTCAGCTCACTCTTTGTAAAGCTTGTTGTAGAACTAGTGTTGAAGCCATCCTGGATAATGTGAGCTAAGGGGCCAGGGAACCGTTGTTTTGTATATAATCCTTTAGGGCTTGTCCTCTGATTTTCTGCCTTTTTCTCAAGGGCAAACTTTGGCAGCACACTGATTTGACATTCCCAAATCAACTGTGGTGAATTTTACTGAGTTAAAATTTTTCCAACGCATTGCAATTGTATATACATTCTTGACATTGGAAACCAAATCAATGGTAACTCTATTTACATAGTTGATTTTTAGCTGCTACTATCCATCATAATATTTCCATCTCTACTTTTTTCAAGTACAGATTTTATTTCTAAAGGAAGATGGGGGATCACTTCCAATTATAACGAATGACTTAAATCAAGATATGTGCAGGATAAAGGGAAATACATATAAATGTAAATTCTATGCTGGTTGGAAGCACCATGAAAAAAGAGAGCCATACCCATTTTGTCAGTACTCTATTAAGTGTATCTCTGGCATCCATTATAGGACAAAGGATACACAGTGCTGTAGATATGCTCACTATCTCACACATACACTTAATAAGTTATAAGTTAGTGTTTTTATGAATGTTAAGATTCATCTGTTGTAGCAAAGACAAAACAAATAAGTGAAACCTCTTTCTCACTTGGAAGAAAGAAGATACCAAGAAATGTAAATGGATTGTGTGTTTACAAAGTATATTTTTGCAGTAAATCTGAATTTAGGACCTGATCATTTGAAAAGCTCGAGTCAGTTGTTCCCTCTATACTTTGTCAGAAACAAAAAACAGGATCCTCTTTTCTTCTTTTCCAATTTCCTTGACTTTTCTAGTTTGAACTACATAGTCTCATGCCTTCCTCTTGTATCATTAGACAATTTATTTTCACATGTGAAGATTAAGGAAACAAGCTTGCATCTCTCCCTTGAAAGCCCGGAAAGGACTAGAATACACTGGTGCTCCTGCACTCACACCTTAATCCGGTTTGTTTAGGCCAATATGTATAAAATGTGGGCTCTTGACCCCTATAGGCAAATTAATTTTACAGAGCCCCAGATCTGGTCCCTAGCCAGAGCTACCACCTACTTAGATCAGCCACCCCAAATACAGATGCCGTCACCCACCACAATCGCCAGACACAGAGACTCAGGAAGATCACTTAGCACAAAGCCATCCACCCAATGGAAAAAGCAAGTAAAGTATGTGTCATATCTTACTTGGACAAAAACATACCGCATTCAGACATAAAGCAAAATAAATGTTATCTGTTATTTTAATCATCACAGAAGCAAAACTTACAGTTTGTGCTTTATGACTACTTTGGGATCATATGCTAGTTATGCACAAAAGGGACAACCCCTCTTGATGACCAGGCATCTCATTACCATTGCCCCCTTGGTTTCCACTAGAGGGAACCAAGACTGAGCTTAGGAGAATGGGAAGGCACTTGTGGATATGATTTTCTCTGATGTTTATGATTCCACACCCAAATAGATATGAAATTCAAGTCTGGACATCACCTTACCAGTGTTAAGGTGGATAATCAGTAGAACTCTATAAAATATCATTTCAACGTATAAGTATCTAGAGATTATAAGTTAGAATTAGATGCATTATTTTGAATTTCATTAATGCTAATTCTAAAGCAGCAATTTAATTTCCTGCTTTCTAAATGTACTTGACTTGGCATGAGAATTTGAGCAGGTAGAATAGAGTTAGAAGAAGCTAGGGAATCATAGGTTACCTCGTTGGCCAGGGATGTGGCACAATGCTCTAGAAACAGGTCTGCCAGAGAGAAGAGTGCTAATGCAGCACACTGCTTTGCACCTAGGCATAGTGGAGGACACCCTGGCATTTAGAGCAGGTCCAGATGCAGAGTTCATGGGGAGAGGATACTTAATGAAGCAGAATTAGTGACGACCACCCCACAAGGAGAGCTTCCTTCTGATGCATCCCGTTTGCTGAGGCTAAGGACCACCCCACATCTGTTCCTGTAATAAGTATTCCACATTAGCTTCAGATGAGATCATTGTCACATCTCTCCTGCATTCACAGCTGCTAAACAATAATTTAGCTAGGTTTTGTCAAACAGTGTTTGTCACATGAATCAGAATTCTATGTAAAAATGATGAAGCTTAGAACTTGGAGATGGAAAGGGGCCTGATCAGGAATGGAGCACCAACCTCTTGAGAGGGCTGGTTTTTCTCTATCCGTCTTCCTCTAGCTTCCTTGAATTTCAGAGTAGTTTAAGAACTAAAGCCACCTGGCCATTGGGAAGTGTCTGATACATCCTACTCGTAACCTGGTCTTTTATTAGATGGTCCTTGTTTCTAAAACCAGCCATCCCTGAGGTCCTGGGAACACAGAGAGTGTTTGTAAGGAAACAGGGACAGAGGACAGCAGGGTACTGAGTGTTTTGTTTTGTGAGTTTCTGTTCTTAGTACTACCATCACTTTACACAGTACCTATCACAGATTAGCAATTTCATTTTTATTATCTCTTGGCTCCATTTACCTTCTTTCGTTTTCATGAAACAAAAGAAAAAGTTGAGTAAGTAAAGTTGAACTAAAACCTACAATTTTCTGGATACCTGCTGTAATAGTTTAGTTGGTGAGGGTTTCAACCAGATACACCTTTAACACCTCAATAGTCCATTATTGTCTTTACAAGAACATGTGTTAACAAAGCTAGTGGTCACACCTAGGAGATCTGAGTTTGAGATCTGAGTAGGTCCCATGGCATAGTGATGTGAAAACAGGTTTTATCTTTTGCCCATGATTTATGTCCCCTTTACTTATTTATAATCCATGAAAATCTTAAGAGTATTTTAATGATGTATTATTTCGAACTGCAGAAAACATTTTGGAAATATTACGTGTTACTCTTTGAGCAGAGTGGAAACCAATGAAAATATAAATTTCATCAATTTTCTAAACACATGCAGTTTTGCACACTGCTTTGAGATGTTCTGGAGTCTTCAAAATTCACTTCTGGCTACTAAAGTTCTTTTCTAATACATTCATGCTTCACCTATTTGAATTTTGAAGAAATGTGTTCTTTCACCTATGGAGCATTTTTTGTTATTTCCATTGATCCTCTTGGAAATTTTCATGTCAGTGTAGTGCTGACACTTGTTATTATCACAAGCTTTTCTATGTGACAAGCACTTAAGGGCTCTTTCCTCTGCCCAAGAAGGTTGAATCACTGGGCAAAATCCCCACCATAGGTTGATGGAGGAATTTTTGTGCTATCAACAACATAATGAATTCAGATATGCATCACAGGGTTAGAAAATAAATGGATAAATGGTTTCTCTGAATCTGTGTGCCATTTTTCCATAGTCCAATGATTTAATGCCAAAGGGAGAGAGAAAACTTCTCTTCAGTGGGCGTGGCTTTCAGACTCCCACAAAATCATAATTGTTTTCAAATACTGATTCTTTGTTGATTTAGGCCAGGAGAATAGCCCCCTCTCTTCTCCCCAAGAGTAGTTAACATCACCCTTTAGACTCCGGTTTTCTAGTTGTTTCTCCTTCCCTGGCAAAGGGATCATGTGACATTTCCAGGCTTGGTGTTTCAGTCTGTAAACATACATGTTGTGTGTGACGTGTGATCTGTCCGTACATCAAGTCATTTGCGGCCTGTCCGTGAGGCAACAGGTCTAATGGAAAGAGCAGACAGGAAGGGTCTCACATAGATGACTCTTCCAATAAAAGTCGCTCTCTGTGTCCATACTGCTCACGGATGGTGACGCTGTCCCTGTGCATCTTTCTGATGGCCGTGATACAGGGGCAACAGAGATGGCTCGGGGAGAGCATCTGGGAGTCGGCAGAGCAGCTCGGAGAACGAACTCAGGTGGCTGGACCACCAGCGGGCCTGGAGCAGCACAGACTCTGACAGCTCCAACCGCAATCTCAAGCCCGCCGTGACCAAGACAGCGAGCTTTGGGGGCATCACGGTGCTGACCAGGGGGGACAGCACATCCAGTACCAGGAGTACCGGGAAGCTGTCCAAAGCAGGTAGTTAGTACTGAATGGGTTTGTGTTGTGCAGTGTTTCTGGGACTCTACCTGAATTGTTTGCCAGCCATTCCCTCTGACTGCCATTAAGCATGATAAAGGCATTTATTTCTGAGCTTCCTGGGAAATCAGAAGGTGCGATTTAAATGCCAATGCTGCCTCTTGCTAGCTGTGTGCCTAGGTCACAGTAACCTCCCTAATGTCTAGTTCTCTTATCTACAAAACATATTCCCCAGGTAGACGACTCTAAATTTAAATTCAATCATTTATATAAAAATGGTTACCATACGTGGCAACTATTTAACAAAGGCTATTATTTTTTTTATTTGATTGTTACGATTCATTTCTTAAAACCACATTGCAAGGTTATTATAATAGGACTAATTTTGGCTCCTGCTTTGGCATACTGTATGATCCCGGGCAAGTTATTTAACCTGTTTGTGCCTCAGTTTCCTCAGCTGAGGGGAGGGAATAATAATAGTGCCAATCTTCCAGGTTATTCTGATGACTAAAAGATTTTATATACACAAAGCAATTTGAATAATTGGCCAGTTTTAAGCAAGCCCTTAATCAGCACTGGTTTTTGTGTTTTTTTAATTGATAATTGATGTTTTCCTGCTTTGCAGATAAGGAAAGTGAGCCTCAGAAAGGTTTAGGTGCATACATCTTTTATTTTCTCCTGTTTATTTTCTCCTAAATGGACAGTGATCTCTTGCGGTATGTAGTTTAAGTTTTCACAGACCGTCCCTGGGAGATGAGCAATGATGAGAAATCTAGGAAAACCATGGACTTGAAACAACTTTAAACTTATAGGAACATTAATACCATAGTGTGGACATGAGTCTGCAAAATGCGCTTCATAGTTTGCCATGCCTAGCTCTTCTATCTCCCGTGAATTCCTTGCCATTATTTCCAAATTATTTTCAAATGTCCACAATTAAAATACCACATGAAATCCCAGGAAGGTGACATATGGCCATGTCGTAACGCTACATGAACTTATGTTTGTGGCTGTATATGTAATTGTTTCTGTCTGGTTTTGGTTTTGCTGCTGAAGTACAGAGGCCCTAACTGTCAGCTAAGGTGGGGGTTGAGCTAATTCACTGAAGTGTATATCCGGGGGTGCCAGGTCCCCCTGGTGGTGCATTCACGGACCTGGGATTACAGGTCAGTGGGAAGCCAGAGCAGGATGGAGGTGGTGAATGACCCACACAGAGACGGGCTGTTCTGACCTGGGATTACTTTGCTAACCAAGCTTCATTCTCACGCTAGGGGGAACCTTTGTGAAATCCAGGCTCATTATGCTAATGATTTAACATAATTATGTTGTTGACAAATGCCTCCTAAGAAATTATCTTGTGTTTCCCTACACAGGCAGAAAATTAATAGCATTTAGTCACAGTCACTACTATATATACATATATATGTATCTCCTGCTTCTTGGTAAGACTCACACTGCCTTCTGTAATTTTTATTCATAAAATGGCGAATTCTTGATATCCTACTCTAATTAATTGCTCTTATATCCCACTATTGCAACAACTGAAGTCAAGAAAATCCACTGTGGTACACACTTGAGCTCTTGTAAACTAAGAAAGGTTAAATAGTTTTAAATCTCCTTAAAATGCAGAAACCAAGTACCTTAAATGGCGCACTTAAAAATTCCAGCACACCAAAAGAGCTCTTAAGATTTTTAAATTAATCGTTGTTCTCCATGCACCAACCCCCAATCACTTCCTAAGCAAAGCTCTTTGGAAACATTTAAAACACTTCAAGAATGCTAAAATGCCATGTTCTTTGAAGAATGATTAGAAATTGTAAGTGCTTCAGACTTTTTTTTTTTTTTAATCTAAGTGTCTCCATTTGAAAGCTTGTCAAGGTGCAGAAGTAGAAAGGAAAAAAAATTTAAAGATCAAGATAGGATGTCAAAACAAACTTACAATTTCCCAAGATGGTTTTATGAAGCAAAGCTGTCAGTTTTGCTGTCATGGACCTTCAGAACAGCACAACTTTCCAGTTTCTTACCTCGTTATTCCAGTGGAATTTGCCAACATTTTTCGACCTTTCAGAAACCAAGTCTGGAGTTGTGACATTTAAGTTACTCTTCTCCTCTTCTAATTACATGGGTTTGTGCTTTAAATAGATAATAATGAGACTTTTCCTAGGTGGGAAACATGTTTTCCTGCGTTATGGAGAAAGCATGATGCTGAAGTCTGAACGTTCGAGCCACTGTCTTGAGGCCCAGGCCTTCGTTCCCCTCTTGTATCCCACACTGAGCACAGATATGGTCACCTCGCCGTGTCCAGCATCTGGAGGCAGAGATGTCCTTACGTCGTTATTCTATCTTCCTTGTGAAGAGGACCCGGATAATGCTTCCATGGCAGCCTCAGCTGTTTCCTGGTTGTGGCTGTGATTGAGAAATAATAGTGTGACGTCTGCCTCTCTCCGCACTGGCCCAGTTGCATCGTTTTACTCTCATCCTCCCTCTGCATCTCCAGAGCAGGGCTTCTCAGCGTCAACTACATCGGCATCATGTGAAGAACTTGTGCAAGCACAGACTACCTGTTCTCAAACCAGGCTTTGAGAACTGCCCTGGAGAAATAAGAAGCCCTTCTGTTTTATTTTAATCATTTTACATAGCCTGGTATTTTGTTTTCTGGATGCAAAGGTTCTCTTGTTGTCACCTTCCTTGTCTACACCCCGGAGTATTTTTGGAGCCAAGGCAAGACGTCTCACCTTTCTACCGTGTCCTCTTCTTCCTGTTCATTTTCATCACCACCCCAGTGCATCCTGGTAGTCCTGCCCTCTTGTAATTTCAGAGGCTTTGGGTTATTCCATGGAATTCTGATCCTTGAGTCTAGAAACATTTTCTTGAATTATTAATGTAGGGAAAAAATACTTAGGGTTCGCAATCCCTATAAAAGAAAAATTCCAGCAGGTGTGTTAAACAGGTAAGGAAGAATTTATTCACAACTACTGCGATAGGGGAGAGAGATGGACCTGAACCCTGCTAAAACAAAGCTGGAGCTGGGCTGAGCTAGTAGAAAGGCACTGGACTAAGTGGAGAGGTGACCGGTCCACATGATTAAGCCATCTGTGTTTGCCAACTCATACTTATCAATGTCAGGCTCCTATCTGTCCCACAGAACCTGGTAGATAAGGGCACTTTCTCAAAAGCATGGCTCCTGAGACCTTGAAAAAGACATTCCTGAGTTGTAAAACTAGTAAGAGGCTGGGAGATTTACATCTTGAGGGGGCAGAAATCCCTAAGAAAAGGGAGTAAAGGCCCAACATCTGGAAGGACACAGTCCAAAGTTCAGTCAAACTAAGGGAATGTGAAGCCATCACTATCCACCAGTTAGGCTGGTGACTTACATGTTACAAAACAGGATATTGAGGTCTAAAGAAGTAGTCACTGCTGAAGAAAACTCAGCTAGTAAGTGGCCAATCTAGAAACCACGCCTTGGGAAGGAAGTTCTCCACCCACTCCAAGGGAATCTGCCCTCCCTTCCCCTTCTGCCCATCTTGCTGTTTTCCACTGTGCTTTGCCTTAGGATCTTTTCTCCAGCCTTTTTCATCCTTCCCTTTCACTTTTCTGGGCCTCTCTTAGTGTTCACCTGAGGTGCTCACCCAGATGTCTGCTTGTTCCTCCTACTAGAGGTCCCTTGGCATCCAGATCCAGCTTCTGCACACCCCATTGTGAGAGCCTGGGGTTTCTGCATAGTGCCTCCTAGAACTTAGCTCAGGCATGGCAGGGCCCTGGCCCCACCTGGTTCTCCCTTGAGTGACTCCAGGGGAAACTTAACTTTCCGCAGACTTACACTGTGGCCCACAGAGTCACTTCACCTGGGTTTGAACTCAGACTCCACCACACACAACCTGTGCTTGTGAAACTTATTCAGTCCTTCTGAGGATTAGTTCTCATCTTCAAAATGGGTTGTTGTGAAGATTAGATTACATAATTCATATAGTGTGATTAAGTACATGCTTGTCACATAGACATACTGTTTAAATATTTGCCATTGTTATCATTAAGCCCCCGAAAAATGAAAACCAGACACACATTAGCTCTCAGCACCCCAAACAAGAAAGTTCTCAAATATCAGTCTCATTGTTTTAAGATCTTTGAACCCCTTCATCCTGTGCCTTTTATCACCTTTGCTAGCATCCGTTTTTCATAAGGAATCTCAGTAGTGCTATCTCTGGGTAGGATATTGCTTACCTGATTCTACCTGATTCTTACCAGATTCTAGAGTTCAAGCCAAATTCAGTTTGCCTTTGTTTATTCTTTTAACCTGTGGAATCAAATCAATTGTATTGTCTTTACATTGTCTCTTCATTGCTCCTGCTGAAGCTGCACTTCACCCTTGGCGTAAGGAAATGGTGCTGCACATTAATGACCAATGCCTATTTTTGAAAGCCAAGGTGAAGTCCCTCTTTGGATCTTACTGTGGCACATCAGTCTATGTGCAGTGCCAGCTCAGCCCTCAAACATGAGTTGGGACATGCCTCTGTAGCCCCAACTTGCTGCCTGACCCCTCAGCCGGGAGATGTGCTGAATCAATCTTGTGCAGCCTTAAATGTCTGGGGGCAGGGGGCTGTGTGGTTTGTGTGTCATCACTGTTGTGGCCATTGTCAGTGTTAGTTCTGCACTCACGGAGCATCAGCGTGACCACAAATACACACTACAGTTTGCATTGGGTCCATGATATCAGCAATGTGGTCTCAAAACTTTGCTGAGTGTTTTCAAATCAACTTTTAGAGCCTTTATTTTCCTCCCCATATGTTATTCAGAGCTCTATCAAGCTTTCTAAGCCAGTTAGATGGAGCATCCTGAATTAGCCAGAAACTTTATGAATAATCAAATTGTGGAAAAAGCAGAGAAGATTCCCGAGGAGCACACTGGCAGCCACTGGCCATGTTGTATGCATATGCACGCTTTCAGGAGGCAGTGTGAGTCCTAGTTAAATCTAGACCAGTCTACCTAGATCACATCCCAGTTCTGTCATTATCCAGCCAGACGAGCTGGCATAAGTTCTCCATCTTCCCTGTGCTTCCGTTTCCCCATCTATATAGGCAGTAGTAGTACTTATTATTAAAGTGTTTATCCAGATATGTACACAGACTAAGTGTTCAATAAATATCACTACCCTTCTTCTCAAAAATTACCACATTCTTCAACAGCCCCTCTTTCCTGCGACTGCCTATTATATTTCTGTCACTTCTTTACAAGTTCTCCAGTTAAATTTGAGCACATTTTAGAAACTTGAAAAAAATGTTAACTCTTCCTTTTATATGTTATCATTCATGCATTTTTAATGACATAAATCAATAGTTGTGGGCTAATAATGCTAAAAATCTCTTGCAGTCCATTCTTGCAAGCTGTGATATCAGCTATTAGTTTGAGTTCACAGATACAGAAATTTTGCGTGGTTGTGTTACCTCTGTCATTCTCTGGTCAATATTCAGTGCCCAGAAAACTACGGTCAAGGGTGTGGGAACTGCTTGGCTCTGGCTGTGGTAAAGGATGGCTAGGGCCTAATGGACAAGGGATATAGAAGGGGTTTCTTTGTCCACAGTGGAAGGAGAGGAAGATGTTTAGGATTAGGTTCCACCTTGGAGGTTTCTGCATGCTGATACAGTTACCTTTGTGTTTGAAAAATCCACAGTCCACAAACATATTCATGATTTGTTTTTCTGTGTCATCTGAAGGATGCTCGATCATTATCATGAAGGCCAAGCTCTCCTTGGTCCACCTGTTGGCCATATTAATAAGACTTCTGTGAATATGAGAGAAAATTTAGATCTTAAACACTCCCAATAGGAGTGGTCCAAGTCTTCTACTCACATCTTGTGGGGAAAGATTATTGCTGACCATGCTCCTTCAAAATTCAGCCTATGGATGTTGGAGAACCAGTACTTAAGGACCATCTGTATGATCAGCACATCGTGGGACTCCTTCAACTGCAAGCTCTTTAACATCCGTCCAGACGTTCTGTTTTAACTCTGTCTCAGCAAGACTTTCCCATGGCATTCATTACTCCAGTGATGGGAGTTTTCAGGCATTGAGCTCAGAGCTTTAGGGTACCATTTTTCCATTTGTCACCCCAGTGGCAGGGTAAGAAGGCTGAAAAAGAGAGCTCATTCTTCATCTCTCTTTTCCTAGGAAATTGACACATCTGAAAAATATGTAGCAAATATTTCATTAAAATGTGAGTCCAAGAGGTAGAAGGGGGATTCGTTAATCTCATCTTACAGACTCTGTAATGTACTAAAACTAAGCATTAGGCCTGGAGCTGAGGTTTCTTTCCTCCTCCCTGGGCTGAATGGTTTGCTGATTTGTATCTCTGCGGCAGGCTCGGAGTCTTCCAGCAGCACGGGCTCCTCAGGCTCTCTGTCCCGCACCCACCCGCCCCTGCAGAGCACAACCCTGGTCTCGGGCGTGACAGCCAGTTCTCCAGGCTGCGTGACCTATCCAGAGAATGGGATGGGGGGCCAGGTGGCTCCCAGCAGCACCAGCTACATCCTTCTTCCCCTGGAAGCTGCCACAGGCATCCTGCCTGGAAGCATCCTTCTTAATCCGCACACAGGTGAGTGAGTGACCGCTGCTTTGACAGGGACATAAGATCAGTGGTATGTTCTTGTGATCAGACTTACAAATTTGCTAGCAATTTTTCTGAAAACGACTGAGCCAGATTGTTTGGTGTATGAACTGCCATGTAGGGTCTTGATTTAGGAAGAGACGATGTATAGTTATAAACTGAATCTTTATATGGACACAATATGGATTTCCAGACATAAATATGGAAAATTCCTAAAAACACCCATGTTTCTGTCTGTGCTCTCTCCCCTGACCATGGTGTCCCTCATGTACCCCCAGGAGTTTAGATTAGATCCCTCCAAGGGATGATAATTAAGAGTTGGTGTTTTTCAAGACTAAATGTGTGTTAGCCTTTTATTATGTCAGAAATGTTCTTGCATCCAAGATATTTCAGGAACTTGCAATACCAGTTGGGAACATAGCAGATTCTTAACTGTAACAGTTGCTTTCTCACTTCAGAACTGTACTCAGCTCCTGTAGGGGAGGAAGGATAGCAGGTGTCAAAGAGGATACAGAAAGCACATTCTTACATTGTTTTAGGGATTTTAGGACCAGACTTGTTTGGTGGGGTTTTGAGAATTGGTAACCTCATGATTATGGTTTCTTCCATGAATAGCCATTGGTTCTTTATTTTCTAATTTCTCTAGTGGTCAGTTGGCTTCCACACTGATCCCAAAGTACCCAGAGCATTGAGCAAATAGACCTACAAACATCTGCTTCAAGGGGTAAAGTTCTCAATCAGGGACAATTGTTCCACACCTCCAAGACCATTTGGCAATATCTGCAGACAGTTTTATTATCAGAGTTTAAGGTGGTTGGAGCTGCTACTGGCATCTAAGAAGATGCAAGCCACAGGTGCTCCCAAGTATTCTGTAATGCCCAGGACTGCCCCTCACAACAGAGGGTCATTCAGCCTCAATAGTCAGTAGTTCCATGGTTGAGAAACCCTGAGTGGAAAACTTGGCATTGACTAGTCACTTCTTTAGAAGCCTTGATAAGTGATTAGAAAAAAAAAAACCCTGAATTGTCTCAAAATATATCTGAGGTATGGCTTAGATTATTCTGGGGCATTTCCTTGATTAGCTAAACTTGAACACGCTAAACTAGGTGAGAATCTCGTAACAGTGATCTGACTCAGTCTTCTCACATAGGAAATGTTCTGGTAATTAGGAAATTCAGAGAACCATGAGAATGATAGTAAAATCATTACTTGAATAATTGCCACACTTTCATGAAAACATATGGCACATTCTCAAGGCACAGTGTTTGATGGAGACATTTTGAAAAAGCCATAAGCTTGAGGGAAAAGAAGACATAATCATTTTATTGAAAACCATTTGAAAGCTTTCAGATTAGATACTTCCATGGAGAATATTAGATTGCTTTTATTTTATTTGGATCATTGTAAGCACTATAAAGAAAATGAAAAGAAAACCGGGATCATATTCTTTACTCTGGGCACTGATCAAAGTGTGATCTGATGCCAATTGCTTAAATTCCTTCACTTTTAATTGAGATGGAGGGCTTGCAGACAAGAGCATACACTAAGAATGAGTTTTGAGTGGTTTGTTTTAAGTAAAATTGCAGTGTTTCAAAACACTCAACAGAGTAGTTTTAGGGTAAATGCAGAAATATTATACATAATGATAGCACAGCTATATATGTGTATATTATCTTCCATAACCTTGTTTATAGAAAAAGAAATAAAGTGCTCTCTGGCACCAAGTGCCAATTCTTATTCATTGGATGGAGTCATTTAGAGCTGCTATCAAAATACCTCCTTTGAAAAAGTATCCTAACTAAGAAAAAGGACCTAATAACACCATTGAATGGCTTCATGCACACTTCTTAGATCTGACAAATGCTGGACATTTCCAGAAGGAAAATATATTAATACACTGTGTACCGCCGTTGAGTGGTGGGATGTAAGGTGAATGATGATGTTTTTTTCATTTCCAAAATGTGCTCATTTTTGTAAATTGAAAACATGCACATGTTTGTATGTATTCATGCATATGTCATGTAAAATGCATACATATATGTGTGTGTGCACATATCTATGCATCAATCCATCTAATCTCTCATATGACTCTGCTCTTAAAACCAGACATTTGCATCTTTTCGCCTGGAACTCATCTTATTATGTCATTGCCATGAACTGAAATCCACACTTCTCTCACTTTCTAAATACTCTTCTATCAAATACATGGCAGAAATGCTATGGGGTTGGGAACGAGAAGCATATGACTCCTTTGCTTCTAGTGTGGTATGCCCTTGGGTTAATTTCCTTTTTACCAGCACATTTATAAGCTCTTTTATAGGGCGGTGTCTTACCTAGTTTTTGTTTATGTTTTGCATCCCTGGAATGGGTAGCAGAGTCTTACAGTCACTGTGCAGGTGCCCAATAAATATTCTTTACTCTGGGCACTGATCAAAGTGTGATCTGATGCCAATTGCTTAAATTCCTTCACTTTTAATTGAGATGGAGGGCTTGCAGACAAGAGCATACACTAAGAATGAGTTTTGAGTGGTTTGTTTTAAGTAAAATTGCAGTGTTTCAAAACACTCAACAGAGTAGTTTTAGGGTAAATGCAGAAATATTATACATAATGATAGCACAGCTATATATGTGTATATTATCTTCCATAACCTTGTTTATAGAAAAAGAAATAAAGTGCTCTCTGGCACCAAGTGCCAATTCTTATTCATTGGATGGAGTCATTTAGAGCTGCTATCAAAATACCTCCTTTGAAAAAGTATCCTAACTAAGAAAAAGGACCTAATAACACCATTGAATGGCTTCATGCACACTTCTTAGATCTGACAAATGCTGGACATTTCCAGAAGGAAAATATATTAATACACTGTGTACCGCCGTTGAGTGGTGGGATGTAAGGTGAATGATGATGTTTTTTTCATTTCCAAAATGTGCTCATTTTTGTAAATTGAAAACATGCACATGTTTGTATGTATTCATGCATATGTCATGTAAAATGCATACATATATGTGTGTGTGCACATATCTATGCATCAATCCATCTAATCTCTCATATGACTCTGCTCTTAAAACCAGACATTTGCATCTTTTCGCCTGGAACTCATCTTATTATGTCATTGCCATGAACTGAAATCCACACTTCTCTCACTTTCTAAATACTCTTCTATCAAATACATGGCAGAAATGCTATGGGGTTGGGAACGAGAAGCATATGACTCCTTTGCTTCTAGTGTGGTATGCCCTTGGGTTAATTTCCTTTTTACCAGCACATTTATAAGCTCTTTTATAGGGCGGTGTCTTACCTAGTTTTTGTTTATGTTTTGCATCCCTGGAATGGGTAGCAGAGTCTTACAGTCACTGTGCAGGTGCCCAATAACTATATACTAGTAAAATAATATCTACTACACATTACACATGTCGCTGTGGATAATGGAGAAGCTGCTCACCTAATGTCATGTATTTGAGAGGAATGGGCACTCTGCATTTAATCCTTTTCTCTGCCTTGGCTCAGCTCAGCACCCTAGGTTACCTCTGACCTTGCACTCTCTTATTTCTGCCCGCACACATGCCAGGGCCTGCTGGGCACGCTTGTGCAGTTTCTGACATGAAACCTCTTCGGAGCTGAATCGTCCTCAGGCCAGCTAGCCTTTCTTTCCCCTTTGGTCTTCAGCAGCTGTCATTCAAACTAATTGCCTGTATTCCATTGTAATTGTATCTGGATTGGAAGAAATGGTAGAATAGAGAGAGGCAATCAGTGCCTGACTTGAAAACCAATAGCTGCCGAGCCCAGCTTGCTTAGGAAAGGTTTTTGTTCTCTTCCCTGACATCCTTCTTACCTCTTCCATTTTCCTCTGTTCTGTCCATTTCTCCGTAGTGGGCAGAAAATTCATCTATCCTCTCTTCTCTTACCAAAAGAACCTGCCATCTCTCTCCACCCAAGTGAGTTCTTAGTACTTTTCACATGCAATTATTTAGAGACATTTCTGTCTTCTGGGCCACAGCACACTAAAGCCATTTTGAACAGATAATCTCAACCGTATCAAAAAGGACATCTGAATATTTTGCTTTTCACGCTAATTATAGCCTGTTTTTCACACTTCCTTAGCTCTTGCAGGGGTAAATAGAAAGCCATGTAGAATATAGGAAAGTTCTTTTCCTTCTCATTTCCCATCCTTGTGTGTGTGTGTTGTGTAAGCACAGAGCGAGACTGATTTTGAAATGACTTCATATGGAGCCGCTGTGAAGAATTTTTTAAAAGCCAGGGACCTACAATTTTCTTTACATCATTTTAAGAAACAAAAAGGGAGGAAACTAAGGATTAGAACATGAAATGAGATGACAGCTTTTTGAAAACTGAATCTATTTTTTTTTCATCCTTTCCTGTGTTGCTGGGTTTTTTGGGAAAAAAAATAGGTGGCAGATGTGAAATCCAGAAGAAACGTGTTTAAAAAAAGTTTAGAACAATAAAATGTAGCTACAATTAAATGACAGTGATAGGAAAACAAGTTCCTAGGAAAAACATTTCTAAAAGCACCTCTAAACTTAGTCATTGTTCTGTGAACAGAATTCCAGCACACTGGCTTTTCCATCACCACCCATTGTCAATGGTTATGAACTTGTCATCAGAACTTAGTTCTGGCAGGGAATTCATGAATATGCAGCATTTAAGGTTTGTTGTTGCATGCACACAAATAAATACGGGCTGGAGATCTGTGGTAATGATAGAGAATGCTAAGCTCCCATTATGGTTCCTAACTGAGCCAAAATCACATCCTATGTCTGTACCAGTGAGGTGAGCATTCTGTTTGGCTTCACTACACTGTCCACGTCAGTTCCCCTACCTATTCAATGACTTTTCTTCATATAATTATAAAATACATAGGTGAGGTGCATGATCTGCACACATCTGAGGTATAGCCTTGGGAAACATTTGTACATGTAAGCACCTGGGTAAACACCACCCAGTATGAAGTGTAGACATGCCTGGTGTCCTGGTGGGCTCCTTGGTGCCCCACAGAGGAGCTGTTGTTCTGACTTCTCTCACCGTTGGTACGTGTAGCCTGATCTTGAATGTAGTGGAAATGGATTCCGCCGTAGCTGCCCTTTAGGGACTGGTCTCCTTCACTTGGCATACATTAGCTAATTAGCTCAGCTCTCATTTTATAACAGTCTGTTCTTGTTGAATACCATACCTTTTTTTTTTCTCACTAGAATATTATTCCCTTTAGGCCAGTTTTGATCATTTCCTCTCTGCTATGTTCCTTTTTGTTGCTACTTTTCCTCACATTACTGCTGGTCTCTGGTTATTCTTATTTATTATTAAAGAAAAAGACTCCTTTCCTCAGCCACCACGTGCCACTTGCCCTCACAAGAGTGCTCACGTAAGCTTTGCCTGCACCTTGCCTACCAGGACAGCGTAGGGAGGGGGAGGCTTCAGCACATGTGCTGGGGAAGGGCTCAGCAGCTTCTGCGGGCTCCATGCTGCCAGGTGGAGGAAGATCTTCCTCTGAGACACCAGCTCTGTGCTGGGAGTCCCACTCCTCCAGGCATTTTGCTCAGGTTCTTAGAGAATACCGTTGTGGCCTCCATTTAGGAAAAGACATTCCCACTGCTCCCTTTCCTGTAGGGCTGCAAGAGTCACAGAAAAGGCCGAGAGGACAGACAAAAAGTCCCACCAATGCCTGGCCCACCCATTCTCCTATATTCTGGTTCTTCTCATCCTTTCTCTGCCAATCCACCTTGAAGCATGGCCCCCACGTCTCCTGCCTCCCTGCAGGTTGATCGGTGATCTCCAGCTGTGACTGGATTTGTCTCAGGGCTCCCCCTTGTACTGTGTTCTCTTCATGTAAACTTGGGTAACTCATGGGAGGTTTTGGAAGGGTGGAAAGCGAATGGACCTCAGACTCATACTGAGCAGGGCTGTTCCCTGGTTCTCTTAATTTTTCTTTTTTTTTTTTTGTATTTTTGAATCAATTGCTTTGTCCCTCTGGGCTATGATCTTGTCTAGAAAGAGGAATGAGACCACATAGCTGAGGTCAGTAGAGGAGCCATGACCCCATGTGTCAACCGCCTGTCCCTGTGCCTGCCACCTGGAATCGATTTGTTCTCTCTGCCCTCCTTCCCTCGGTGTCCACTCTCCTCCTTGCAGCGTCTTCTTCCTATAATCGTTCTGGTGGGCCTTCACTTCTTCTGAAACGTGGGGAGAGGATGCTTTCCTCCCTCACACACTCATACTGAGCTTCCAGGGATACTATTTTGTAAACCACAAAGTATCCTTCAAATAGTAGTAACAACAATAGTGAACATCACTGTTATTTCAAAGGCAAAATAACGTATATTTGCTTCACCAACACAAGAGGACTCTGTGATGCATTCATTGTGCATCACCTTGAAAATCTTAACTCCCATGAGCTCCTGGTTGTATCTGTTTAGAGAAGGAAGTAAGTGGATGCGGTATGTTCTGTTGTATATATGTTTATAGACTGACTTTTGTGACTCTGAGTTGGTGACGACCTCGTGGAAGCAAAACAAGTGTGTTGGTAAATAGTGTGTAACCAGACAGCTGGAGTTATGTGCATGGGAAGCACTGTGTCTTGGTGGATGCCACCTGGCACCTGGCTGTTGGGGCAGAGCAACGAAACATGGCTTCCTGGGGACTGTGTCTCCGCAGGCCTTCTCCACCAGGTGCCACTGTACACATCTTCCCTTGGCTTCGGCAAATGTCTCTGAAGGAGGCGGGTTCATCTGCTGCCACTTAAAATGCTCTGACCTCCCAGTGTGATCTAGCCTGACAAGATAGGCAGTAAAGTGTTCACACTGTCCCAGATTCCCACTGTCCCTGCATGTTGAGTATCTATAGGCACACTCTGAGTATCAATCAGAGCGGCCCATCTGGCCAAGGAGGAGCTGCCCTGGACCATGCTCTGGTTCTGTTGCAGGCCAGCCCTTTGTGAATCCCGACGGAAGCCCGGCTGTGTACAACCCCCCCACCGGCCAGCAGCCCCTGCAAAGCCCTGTGGTGGGGCCGGCCCAGCAGCCCTCTCCTCAGCCCCAGCAACGGGGACAGCCACCACAGCCGCCGATGGCAGGCTCGCTGGTCACCCAGGTGAGCAGAGGCGGAAGCATGGGGAAGGGCAGGGCCCCAGGTGAGCACTCCGCAGTCCCAGAGCAGCAGGCAGGGCATATTTTCCCCTGGTGCCACCTCCATCCACACACAGATGAAGCCTGGCCACCTGGCATCCTCGTTTGCTGGGTGACAGGTCGTCCTCTGGATCCTGAAGTTTGGATGGAGGTGGGTGTCCCACCCAGTGACCTCGTGATGAGGGCACAGTGCTAGGGAAGGAAGATGAATGACACGCTTTATCTCAGGTCTAGATACTCTTTTTATGTATCAGGGAGATTGTTTCGGCACTGAACTCAAGCTCCCCCAGGCCTTGTGGCATCTTTCTCACCCATTCCCAGCTCAGACCAAGGGCTCGCGTCCACAGAAGGTGGACCACCTTATCAGCAGAGGACCACAGATCAGGTCATTCTGCAGTGGCCTTGCTGTTCATATCCCCTTGGAGGATGGAAAGCTGCCCTCCTTTCCTGGGGCAACACAGGGAAAGAGCTACAGAAACCAGAGGTTTTCCAGAGTGAAACTCATTTTTTTATTTCTTCCTTACTCCTTAGTCCTTATGGGACATTTTTAGACCCTGAGGATGTAACTGCCAAAAACATGAAAGTGTCACAGTAACTTCTTAAAAGAGTGTTCCCTCTGGGTAAGTCAGCCTCTCCCCAGGCTGGCTGGCATTGTCTGTGTAGCTTTGACTTCCTGGGGAGCAGCTGGCCCCCCATCTCTGCAGCACACTGGGCGCAGAGACCTGGAAGGGCTGACGGTGGGCCTCAGGGAAGATGGCCCTCCCTTGGGATTCAACCCCCCAGGCTTCCCTCTATCCTGACCAGCTGTTTCTCCCTCTGTGCAGGGGCTGCAGGCTTCCTCCCAGTCCGTGCAATATCCGGCCGTCTCTTTTCCTCCTCAGCACCTCCTGCCTGTGTCTCCAGCCCAGCAGTTCCCCACGGTAATGTACCCTCTGTGTGTGGCTCTGGCTCTGCTCCCTTCTGAGCAGGCTGGCTGATGCTGGGGGTACCCAGGGCTGGCTGCAAGGGTGTGGGTGTGAATGTCTCAGTCTAGAACATCACAGCCGTCTCCAAAAGCAGGGTGTCCTTTCTGTCCCCTGTCCCATGTTAGTGCTTCTACAGTCCTCTACAATCTGGTGCCTTCTCAGAATTGATAGGCCGAGCAGGAACGGAATGCCCTCACAGTCGGCAGTCAGAAACAGAGAGTGGCGAACTGGGTGCGGGCATCTGGGAAATACTGCAAAGTCAGTGTTCAGACAGAAACGTCATCACACCATGGTCCTAGTACAGAAGCTCCCCCAGGTTCCTGATCCCCAAATCCCCCCCCTCACTGACCCCTTAATGTACTAGGTCCTTTGGACAAGAGCAGTAAGCATTGCCCCTGAACTTCAGGTGGGGCCAGTGAAAAGTGCTCTCCAATAGACAAATGAAACCCCACTCAGTCTGCCGATGCCAGTCCTGCCGGCACCATGGGTGATGAAGGACCCAAGTCCTTCCTGCTCTCTCATGAAGGCAGGGGCTGTGTTTGCTGCTGGGAAGACCAGTGGGCCATTTAGGACAGACCACCCAGCCTTCCTGTCTCCACCTCCCAAGGAGTCTAGGCCCTTAGTGAAACAGTAATACTCAGTTTCCATTGAAAGAGGTAGATCTGGGTCAAATCATGCAGGATGCCTGATCCTTGGGATGATTAGAATCTGTTTCTTCTGGTCATGTTCTCTTGTTCTGGATGGAGAATTCCTTTCCTCCATTGCTTCCAAATTATACTCCCGACTCCTCCAATGATGGCAAGCATGTGGCCCGTGTGTGCCTCCCTGTGCCTCTCCCATGGCTAAGCCCGTCTTGCTGATGTCCTCGTTTGTTTCTGCGGCTTGCAGAGAGACGATGTGGCCACACAGTTCGGCCAGATGAACCTGAGCCGGCAGTCGTCAGGAGAGACCCCCGAGCCTCCTCCGTGTCCTGTCTACGCACCGCTCATGTCTCAGCCAGCCCAACAGCCAAGCTATGTCATTGCCTCTCCAAGCCAGCAGCTCCCCACAGGGAGCTTCTCAGGCTCCGGGCCCCCCATCTCCCAGCAAGTCCTGCAGGCCCCTCCCTCTCCCCGGGGGTTTGTGCAACAGCCTCCACCTGCCCAGGTGAGTGTGGTTTTTCTCACACCTGTGACCATAAGTGGGTTCGGGATGCATTCGGACCTTTGTATTTCCATACAGAATACAGTCAGGTCCACCTGCCTCATCCTTTCTGGTCCACACTAATATTCCCCACAGGCCTGATGCATCCTCGTCATCAGCTGCAAAGCCTTGGGAACCAGAAAGCGAGGTCAATGAAACTGACCCGACGGTCCAGGGCACACAGTGGGGGCACCCACTCCCCAGGCTGCTGGTAGGAGGCGCAGAACAGCATCCCCTCCCATGTGACATCCTCCTCGCTGGGCAGCCGGGGATGGGAAAGCCTCGGGGAACAGAAAAACCTGCTCCAGGGAGGCCATCAGCTCTCTCCTGCCGCTGCCCTGGGAAAGCACTCTTTTTCTCCCATTCATAAGCATTTTCTGGAGCTCATCCGGTGCTGCAGGCAGGAGCTCCTCTCTGAATATAAAGGAGGAGGCTAGGCGGACATCCACTGTCCCTCCTCCCCGGGGGCACGCAGAGCTCGCACACTCTCACAGGTAGCCATTAATCATATTTAATTGACTTGAACGTGTAAGACACCACAGATCACTGATTTTTACTGTCTTCACAAAGACTGATTATGGGTTACAGCTCACCACCAAACATTCCCAGCGCTCTCTGGGGTATCCCCCGCAGAATATGGTAAGTGATTACTGTCAAGATGTAAAATGTACAGAGACAATTTCTGCTCCATTTTCAAGGCACACATAACCCAAGCAAATTCCATCCTAATTATGAAATATTGCCCTGGATGAGCTGTTTAAAGTAGTGTCACCTTTTGCAGGACTTGTTTCACTGCCTTAACACCTTGAATAAATTATTTTCTTTTCAAGCCATGCAGAGTCCTCCACCATGAAAAGATTTTCACTCAGATATTCATCGTACTTTGAATGATTAAATTAATAGTTCATTCACAGTGGCCTTCTCTGTAATGTCTCTTTGATAGTAGGATTTAGGGACATGTGAAAAGTAATTTTACATTACAGGAGAAAGGGCCTCATTAATACACTAATTATTTTACCAATAGTTTAAGTTTGATTATTTGGGAAAGAAGAGTTTAGCTCTGTTAGCCTAAATAGCATCAAATTGTTCTTACCCATTTCTGCTGCCAAAGAGAAGAGTTAGCAGAATATTTAACTGAAGACTTTTTGAAAAAAAAGTCCTTCGGTGATGAGGGAATTTCAGTATCAGTGCACAGCAGGAGCGATGTCGACTTAGAACCCCTGGTGCGTCTGCAACGGGACTGGTTTCATTCCCTCTTCAATAGATGTAAAAATAGAAAAAGGGAGGGAATTTCTTAAAAAAGAGCAAATGTTCACAGTTCGTGATCAGTCTGGACATCCGTGAACTTCTTTTTAAAAGAACCACAGATAAAGGTATGGGATGGAACCCCTAGTGATTTTCAGCTTGGCGAACATTTTAAAATTTGATTGCTCAACAAGAATTCTTGAGATACAGTCCATGGGCATGTGGAAATACGTTGAATTTATGCAATGAACAAACCTATTTAATGACCTGGAAGGGCAGTTTTGTCTGGCTTTCTGACCGCCCACCTCAAGGTGAAGCAGGAAGCACTCGGCTAGGCAAAGAGGGGTTTGAGGAGGGGATGGGAGAAAGGCTCACTTCTTATAGTCTCTTCTTTCTCTCCATTATTTCTTTCCTCCACTAACCACCCATTTCTGTGATTCTCCATATTCTAACACAGTTGTCTGCAAGTACACATTTGCTCCGTTTGGGGCTAGCTTTACTCCTTTCTCCCTGCCCCTCCTTTACTCCAAACTCTCATGCTGTTCCTGTGAGGATTCCTCTTAGCCCACCTCGACTTCCCTCCTCTAGGGTGGAGGAGGGTAGGGATGAGCCGCGTGCCATGGCCCACTGGCTGCACCTGCTTGGAGCTCTGGGCCCTGTGGGGCAGCCAGTGCCCTGCCTTGAACAAAGGTGCCCCCAGTGCTAGAGCAGCCGTCAGGGTACCAAAGAATACAGGATTGAGGGAAAACAGAAGAACACAGCAAAAATCCTGAGTAACCGCGAGTGAGGCTGTTTTGTTGTGTTCTGTTTTTCAGAGGAGTGGTAATTTTATCCAAACCTTTAGCCTTCTCCAGGAAATTTTCAAGTCTGTGAAAAAAATGCCTATCCCTCCTCATTCCTGAAAGTATTTTCATGTTTCAGATTGAATGTAAGAGGAGAGCCCAAGGAATGGATGACACATTTGTGAGCTGACACTGACCCAAGAACCCATCTTTCCTAAAAGAACAGCATGCCCTTCTTCCTGAAAGACATACCAGTATAATGTTCATACATAAACTTGATAATAATTATTCTTATTTATAGTGTTAGAAAGCATCTGATGTATAATGGTCATAATCTTTAATAGCACCCCAACTTGCCAGAGCATAACTAAAACATATTATTACTCCAGGATTATCTCAGGTTTTGTTATCTTAAATTGCCTTATAAAGAAATTGGAAAATCAGATCTCTATAAACAAAGCACCTGATCAATGAGTTCATTGCCGACACTGACCTGTGCTTGCTTCAGACTCACTCTGCCTTGGATATCCATAATGTTAGTAGTCAGAATGATGACTTGTAATGATTCCCTGGAATTGCAGAACCCCAGATCCACACAAACTAAGTTATCTTTTATTCTGACTTTATCCTAAGGCAGGAAAACATTACACATGTATGTCAGTAGCAAGACTGAAATAGAAAAGTGTTTCCTATTTGACCTGAACAAACCAGAAAATAAAATAAGTCATAAAACCACAGTTTTCAAACAGGTAATTTTATTCTGTTTATATAATGTTTGCCAGCTGTGTACTGGTGTGCCTCTGTTTGCACTTTAAATATGGCAGAGGCCTGGAGATGACAAATAATTATGATTAGTGAGAAAATAGCCTACATATAAATGACCTGAGGTAGGCAAGGAAAGCTTTCCAGATCAGAGACATTGATTTGAATCTTATTGGAAGTAATTAGAATATTTTCAGCCATTCTCAGTCATTAGAAAGTGACAGAAGGTGACAGAAACAATATTTTAAGTCTATGTCTTTTTTTAGATGGAACATAATTTTATTGGAGGCTGGCTATGTGTCAGTCACTCTGCCAAGGGCTTTGATTGACTACCGTATTTCATAATTTCTTTCTCTGCTTCTCTTAGACTGGAGAGCAGCAATTTTCATGTGTCACCTGTTTCCATTAGAAAAAGATTCATGTTAGATATGTTTTTAATTACCATACATTTTGTGTGTGTGTCATAGGTGACCATTTCATTTGCTCTCGTTTCATTTTAAAAACACAGAATTCAGTGTTTTACACCAAGAACCATCGTATTGCTCATGACTAAGTCAGTAATTTGAGCAGGACTGGGCAGGGATGGCTCCAGGTGGTACTGGCTGGCACGGCCTGACTGAGCCTGGATCGTCCAGGATGTCCTCACCCATGTGCCTAGAACATCATAGAGCCTGATGGCTGGGGCACCTCTGTTCTCTGCATGGCCTCCAGCAGGCTAGGTTAGTCTTCCCAGAGGCCAGGCTTCCCTCCCGCAGGAGTAGAAGCTGCAGATCTTCTTAAGCACCAGGCTTGCAAGCCTTAGAGGTCAACACTCTGTCTCATGGCATCAGTCAAAGCAAGTAAGACTAAGGACTCGGGAGTAGATTTCCCATCTTCATGGGCACAACAGCACCCACACATTGGCAGCAGAGAAGCTCTTGGTGGCCATCGTGCGATGTGATAAGATGGGGGCATGTTTTACATTGAAAAGTGCTACTCTATGCACAGTTCTCACATGCTGTGGTCTTCCCCTCTTTCCCACAGATGCCCGTGTACTATTACCCATCCGGTCAGTACCCTACCTCAGCCACACAGCAGTACCGGCCCATGGCCTCTGTTCAGTACAGTGCTCAGAGGGGCCAGCAGATGCCACAGGCAGCACAGCAACCAGGTACCTGGAATCCGTCTCCTGTTTTCTCCTCTCACCCTTTTACTTCTGTCTGTAAGTCTCTCAGCTGTCCTCTTAGATGAGTATCTGAGCTTGGTAATTTAAGTCAGCTCATTTCTCTCACCCAGAGAAGATAATGGAGCACATGATGATGTGTGCAAAAGTAAAGGGCACTGGAGGCAAAGCCACGTCATCTGGTGTCCCAAGCATGCATGCTGAACGGTCTCCAGAAATTATTTTGGGATCACCTTAGTGCCTTGCAAAGCAGAGAGCCAACCTCATCCCTGTCTTCTTAGTGCATACTCTTTTTTTTTTCCATTTCAACTCTAAGAACATTCTTCCCCTGTTCCTGAGACTAGGGAACCATGTTAGGTTGCTTCCATCCCATCCTAAAGAGAGCTGTCTTTGGAAGAAGGCCACTGGCCTTGCAGCCTGTGTCCTGGTGGACCTCTGACTCCATGGCTCACGTCTCAGAGCTCGGCGGCCGCTGTGCAGTGGGAAGGGGGGCCGAGGCACTGTACGAGAGTGAGTAGCAGGTCTCACAGTGAACCGGTCTCTTTCCCTACTGTGTCACACTCCTGGAGAGCAGCAGGAACCCAGCAGGGCAGAGTGATGTGTGCTAGGGAGAGGCTTATGTCCTTCCGGCTCTCCACACTGCAGGGAAAGCTGCTAATTGTCATGTGAAGACCGCCTGACTGGGGAACTCTGCCTTCCGTAAGTAGGTCATGTAGAGCTCATGCTCCCCACCGCTGCTCCCCAATCCTGCTCTGTCATGGGATTTCTGCACCGAGTATACGTGTATGCATATATCATTGTACATATGTATGTGTGTGTGATATATTCAGGAGACGTGCACTTGTTACAAGCTGACAGAAGGCGCAATCCTTGCCAAGGATTAATCCCGGTAACAGACACCCTGCGAATACTAATGCTGACACGGCTAGCTGTCAGAGTGGAGAAACAATTCCATCCCTCTGCTGTGTGGACAGCTATGTGTTCCTTAGCTCATCTCCACCTATCTAAAGTCGGTGGAAGAAGGATGAGGAAAATGTACAGCAGTCAACCAGACTGTCTCATTTCAACACTAGCCAAAAAAAAAAAATACATTTTGACCTCTGCATTGACTTTACACTTTTATAGCAAAAAGAGCACAAAAGGGCTTAAAACTATTAGTTATTTTAGGAAAAGCTTTTGGTACTATTTTCTCTGCTAGTTGGAAATGTTACTATCATTTGGTGGTACCCATGTAGATAGAAACTCTAGGGACTTTATCAGTGCAGGTATAAACTGTAGGAAGGTGCTGTTTGCATTCTGAACTGCCTTATATTTTTCTGCTGATGTTTATCATGGAGTTCATTTCCTAGCTACTGACCCAGAGGCTAAAGCAAAGTTTTCCTTTGCGTGACCAATGCCTTTGGAAGAAGAAAGATGCGGTTATCTAATGATAATGATTTTTTAAAATTTAGTGCCATTATTTGACAGTTTTCTAAAGCAGGATTTCAGTGTTGGGTTAGAGTATAGTTGCTACTAGGGAAAGCGGTGGCAAACGTGCTGGGTCTATGTGAGGGACTGAGAAATTTGGCTGAATATATTAACTGGGTAACAGAATGAGATTCAGATGAAGCTCCAGGCTCCCCACTGAATTCTCCAACAACTTCCTTGACTCAGGACACCACCAGGGACTCCACTGTGACATTTCTTTCTCTTTCTGAAAGCATTGTGGGAGGATTTAGGGATGGAGCCCGAGCTGGCCCCAACCACATCCTATGGCAGGCGTGGTGGCTTTAACTTGTCCCACAGCCACATCACCACAGAAGTGCCACCCTAAGATGAGGTAAGGACACGATATTTAGGAGATGCATCCTGAAGCTCAGAATAGAAGCAAGTGCTTCAGGCACCACACGGAAGTGGCTGGTGACTAATGTGGCCTGTGGGGGTGGGAAGGTGAGGACAGGAAAATGACCCCTGAACAGAATCTTCCCCAAAAGTGCCTACATCAGGACACACAGGTGGTCTGGGGCCTTGGAGCTCCTAGTGTGTGTGGCCATCACACTCAGTATCAGGCCAAGCATCCCAGTTCCATTCCCTGACAGACCTGAATTTCCCAAATGTTTGGAAAAGCAGGTGATGTCCTCCAACCTCAAAGAGAGTCACCTCTGCTGGTAAAATCCAGGTGATCCAGCTCACACCAGGGCTGTATGAAGCATGGAGGCTCCGGGCCCTACAGCCAGGAGGCCTTTGCTGAGTTTAGTGATACAAACAGAGACTTTCTAAAAGGACATGGTGGCGTCATCTGGGGGACCCCCTGCCTCACAGAGGGAAGAGCCGCTCCGCGTGACTGTAAAAGCTTCATTTCCTGGAGGAGCTTGAAGACAGGCCCTCCAGGTCGGCCTCAGCACCAGAGCTGGCTTGGCGTCCTCAGTGACACCCGGGCTTTCTCTGCCTCATTTCTCCTTTCTCCAGGACAGTCTTGTGTCCTGCATCTGACCCTCTACCATCTTCATCTGGTACTGACACCAGATTGTATCACAGCCAATGTGGCCATCACATGGTTAAGTGTTAGAATGGAGCAAAATTATGTCAGTTATAACTGAATGAGATTCTAATCCCAATTTGCTTCTTGGCGCTGTTCTTGATCTTCATTTAATCGCAATGAGAAGTGTCTTGTCCTACATTCTTGGCTGAATTGAAATCTCTGTAAGTTACTACATCTTTCCTAAGCCCTAAAGGTATACACAGTGAATCTTTATAAAGTGAATTGGGTATTCTACGATTGATTAAATAGGACATTCGAGTTATAGTGGAGGCCTGTCGGCAGACATAAATTCTTCCTCCTGGTGATGTGCCATTCACAATACCAATGGGTGATAAAGGTGCTGAGCGTGTGAAAGGAGCTGGTGGTGATTGTAAGTAAAGGCCATTTATGTTCAGAAATTTGGAAAAGTTAAATGGTAGATTTGCACAGTGATATTTGGATTTTGTAGCTCCATACATAAGGAAAATAAAAACCTTTAATATAGAAACGTCTCTAATGGAAAAAATAAATAAACCTGTGGTCAATTTGACATTATTAAGTACCTCTAACAGTGGGAGGAGATAATTTTCTTTATGAGGCTATCATTGATAACTCAAGGCTGTACAGAAAAGCAGTTACATAGTCATAGCTAAAAACACTGGAGTTTTCAAATCATCCTGGGTTTGAAAGACTTGGAAGAGAGAGTGTCTTAGCCAGGAACAGATTATTCTCAGAGAATGGCAATGAGCAAACATTTCATTCCCTGATGTTTCTGTCTTCAGATAATACATCCCTCTGAATTAATTCAATACCTGTGTCACTAAGATTTTATTCTAGCATTATTTTTCGGGCCACAAAAATGTTAGCAATGATCACATCTATCATCAGTGTAGGTCTCTCGAGGGCTAATTGCTGCACTGCATTGTTTAATCCCCACTACAAATTTACAAGGGCAACTATTAGCTGTTAGCATGCCTGTGTGCAGATGGGGAAACTGTTGCTCAGAGAGGTGAAGTAAGTTACTTGAGGTCCCGAGGTGGATGGAGCTGGAAGAAGCCCCCAGGCCTGATTGGCTTTAAGCCTGTGTGTCAACCTCTTTACTGCAACCACATAGACAGTCATTACTTTAGCCTTGATTTCCCAGCATGGATGACCATATAGGAGACAGTATGTTGGAAGCAAAACAGTATGCCTTTGTCACCAGGGCAGGTAACATCTCATTGATTATCCAGTTATACAGGTTGGCTAATAACAGAACAAATCAGGAATCCTACACTTTGCCTCCCGACCCACCCTGGGGTTCCTTATTATTTTGCAGAGCTGGCTTCTATGTGCAACTCAGGTATTGGAAAGAGAAAAAAATAACTCCTCTTGTATGGTGCCTCCATTCTAAATTACCTTTTCAGTCTGACCTGAAAATAGGTACATGTATCTTCATTTTTAGCACATGTCCTAAAAGCAACAAAAGTGGGCTTGGAAAGTCCTGTACACATTCAGTAAGTAGGCCTGTGGGGATGAACACATTCGGGTTTGGTCTCAGAATAATAGTGACCTCATCAAATGAATTGAAGGAAATGTTCCTTCCTCTTCTGTTGTTCTGAAAGAAATTGTGCAAAATTGGTGTTCAATCTTCTCTGAATGTTTGATGGAATTCAACAGTGCAACTGGGCCTGGAGAGTTTCAGAAGCATTGTTTTTACTTTCCATTTGAAGATAATTTCTGGAGCTTTTTAGTTATGAATTCATTATGATTATAGGATTATTCAGATTATCTGTTTGGTCTTTGCTGAGTTTTAGCAGCTTGTGGTCAATGAGGAAGGCCCATTCCTTCTAAGTAGTTGGAAGTATGTGTGTAAAGTTGTTAGTATTCCAATCGTTTAAATGACTGCATGATATATAGTTATATCTTGCTTCATTCTTAATATTGGTGATGTTTAAATTCTCTTTTTATTTTGTAAGCTGTGCTAGATTTTTGTTTCATTGATTTCTCTATTGTAGTGTTTCCCTTTCATGAATTTCTGCTCTTTATTATTTTATTCCTCCTGCTCATTTTAATGTTGCTCTACTTTTTATCATGGAGGTATGACACTTGATTATTGATTTAAGACCTTTTTGCTTTTCTAATGAAAGCATTTAGTGCTGTAAATTTCCTTCTCAGTCCCACCTTAGCTGTGTCCCACATGTTTTTATATGCTACATTTTCATTTTTCATTCATTTGTATGTTTTTTTTTCTCAAATGTTCTTTGAGATTTCCTCTTTGATGTATGGATTATTTAGGTGTATTGTTTAGTGCCCAAGTGTTTGAAGATTTTCCTATTGTACTTCTGTTATTGATTCTAGACTGATTCCATTACCGTCAAAGGACCTACTCTGTATGTTTCAATTCTTATGAAATCACTGAGGTTGGTTTTATGGCCAGGATATGGTCTATCTAAGTGAATGTTTTGTAAGGAATTAAAAAAAAATGGGTATTCTGCTGTTGTTTGAT